GAACCTCAGGTTGTCTACTTCTAAAAATCACAGTAGAACTCGGCAAGGCAAAAATACGACGTGTATTAGACCCAAATTTGCTTGACTCAAGGAAAAATGTCACATTTTCACAAGCAAGTTGTAAACTTTCCTATCACTAAATTTAATGTTCTTTTACCTTTGGATCCACCTAGGCTCAATATTAACATGGAATGATAAACGACTGATTCGAGAAACTTAAACAGGCCCGACAGCCTACTGTAGGGAGTACGATCCAAATTATGGACGAAAAAACCCACATCAACCGTACTAAAACCTATTCGGTATGAAACTGTGCGGAACTGCTAACTCTTTCAATATTCAAAGTTTCCATTAATTTCAAGCTAAAGCATTTAGGTCAGTTACTACCCTCCATAACGTCGTTAAAATGCCATTTATCCAAAAATTAATTTCTCGAAAATTTACTAGGTTTCGTATACTCTCCCCTCAAACTAATTATGTCCAAGTCTTGCCCAACGGATCACATATGAAAATGGCCACGTGACCTCCTTTCTTAAGAAACAGTGATAAACTAGAGAGATGAAATGGGAAATTCACATTGATTAACAGGTTAACCAAAGTTGGTAGAACCCGTAAGTTTAAAATTGGGGTAAAAAGATTTTTTTTAATAGACAAACGAGGGGGGATGAAGATTGATGACTTTTTCAAAGTTCTTTTTGTTCTCCCTCAAGCTGAGTCCAATTCCGCCCTGACTGTATCGCTCATGATCGAAAGTAATCAAGCGACCGCTATAAATCTTTTGAGTTCAGTGAACCAGAAATTCATGGTTTATTTATATACACTCCCTGGATTTGTATCGCAGAATTTCCTCATCGTTTTAATATCAGAGAAATTCATTTTTACGGGTTGAAAAGCGGGAGGGCCTCTTCATCGGTGAAAATATATTTTTCATCTCTGTCTTTTTTTTTCTCTCAACAACTTCTTTATAAAACATGCTTTAGATCAACAGACCGCCGGCCTCGCCCAGCATGAATAAATCTGAATATATTCCGTTAATTATGTGTTAATTTTATAAGGAAATTCCGAGCCGGTATTGATCCGATTTGTCAAGAAATCAGGAGAAAAGCGGTGTTTTTGAGGCAGACTCCGATGCCAAATACGGATTTCATAGCCCGTCGCACACTCACAATCGCGCAGGTTGTCGGATTTTTTCGCTCGTAAATTTACCGGATGCCCTGTTTTCCGGTCATCATTGTGCATTTAGACGAATTTAATTTCGAGCACTATTTAATTTCCTCACATCACGAACATAGCTTTCCAAAAAAAAAAAGAAAAACCTATAAGCGTTACGTAAAAATCAATGAAAACAACGTTATTCTGCTATTACTATCTATAATTATTATTAAAATATTATATTTAATTTATTTTATATAAGGAAGACGTTATCGGATTTACATTTAAAGTGGATAACATCTGTAAAGCTACTCGGTTTAGAAATAACACGACCAGCTTATTGTGGAGAATGTTATAAGCAGAAGAGCTCTGGGGATTTTAGGCCATTTTGGAGAATTAAACAGATTACATACGGGTTACTACAAGCAAATACACATTTCACCGGTTCAGCACTTACCAGGATTTGCTAATTGTAAAATTATGTTGATGGGCCTAGGTTTAAATAGGCTAATCTGCCATAATCTAAATGGAAAAAATCATCTACAGTGTGTCAAAAAATATAATCCTTTGCCAAAAAATATATTAAGTAATTAGTAAGTAGAAAGTAATAGAAAAATTGCAAAAAGTTGGGAAAATTCAAAAGGTGGGGGTTGAGATGGGAAGTTAGTGTCCGAGTGGATCGAAGTCACGATAGCTCTAGTGGTAGAGAAGCGGCGTTAGTCGAAGGTCGTGGGTTCGAATGGCGCACGTAACGCCGACTTTTTTATCTCAACCAAAACCTTAATTAAAGATTGTTATTACCATCGTGTATACTTTTTAATATATGAGTTGACATTTTACGATAATAATCCTTTGCCAAAAAATATATTAAGTAATTAGTAAGTAGAAAGTAATAGAAAAATGGCAAAAAGTAGGGAAAATTCAAAGGGTGGGGTTGAGATGGGAAGTTAGTGTCTGAGTGGATCGAGGTCACGATAGGTCAAATGGTAGAGCGGCGACGTATTTAGTCGAAGGTGTGGGTTCGAATCCCGCTCGAGAGACTGACTTTCTTATCTCAAACAATACCTTACATAAAGATTAATTAATTGAAAGATGTTATTTGGTCAAACGGACCACGAGATTTAATGGTTTAAAAAAGTAAGTCAGAAAATGGTCAAAACTTAGATTTCATCTAATTATTATTCTAGCGTTATTGTATCCTTAGACACCGACTTTCCCGAAAATCGGTATAAATAATTTTTTTACTGATAATTTTGACTTCTGCCAGACTCATAATTAATACAAAAATAATTCTATCTAATTTAAAGTAAGTTTTGTCTAATGTAAGTGGACTGATTTTCATTGTTGATATTTCATTTTAAAGAAATGATAAAGTGCATTTTATAAATGTTTCAGACATTAAAATCGGACTATTATTATTATGTTAAAAAACGAGGTTAATTTCTGACAAATAATTTTGCAATTTTGTGTATTTTTTTATAGAAATCGTTTATATATTTTTATGTTACATAGGTAGTTAAAAAGCTCCGTTCCTGTTCTTTCAAATGGTATGTTCGACGTAAAATCCTTCTAGCCGTTTTTGAATGAAAACCGTTTCAATCAGATATTCCCATAAAGTCTTCTAAAAAAGAATTGGAAAAATTTTAGTGGTCCAAAAATTGATAAATTTAAAGAAAAATATATATTTTGAAGTCTCTTGAGTCGCTAAAACGAAATTTCATATTCGTTTCACGAAAAAAATATGACCTAGTTAACTTCAAAAATATCTGATTTTGTAAAATTTTTTGGTTCTTGACAATTGATTTGATTGGTTGATTTGATCAAGTAAAACGGCGAAATGAAAATATTAAAAATCAGAAAACAATTAAAAGAGCTGGGAATACACTGAACACCTGGAAAAAGGTTAGAATTTGCCCATGAATTGCCCATGACCTCATAGGTCAAACAGATACAGGTCGGTGTACCTCAAGGTAGTATTCTTGGTCCTATCTTATGTCATTTATACTACCAATACATCCTGACTCTATTATCACCACCTACGCGGACGACACCTTCTATCCTTTAACTCCAATCCTGTCCAAGCGACCTCCAACATCCAGGAACACCTTGAACTTATCGAAGACTGGTGTAAAAAATGGAGAACAAGACTGAACGAAGAAAAATGCCCTGAGTGTAATTTTACGCTGAAAAAGCAGTCTTGCCCTCCATTGTACATCAACAACAAAGAGATACCAATTTTCACTCAAGTCACATACCTGGGACTATACCTCGACAGCACACCGACGTGGAATCCCCACACAACAACTTAATACAAGACTTGGACTACTACGAAGACTTCTAAGAACGAAATCGTCTTTGACAATTGAGACAAAGCTAACACTCTACATGACTTTACTAAGACCAATATGGGCTTTCGGAGTGAAACTGTGGGGTATTCCAATATCCAGCGTATCTAGTCCTTCCAATCGAAAGTCCTTAGACAAATTATTAAAGCACTTATTATATCACTAACCTCACTATCCACAAAGACCTCAACATTCCTTTTGTCAACGAACTGATCCAGACCAGATTGTACTCCTCAACCGACACCTAATCATACACATTGAGTGCCAGCATTGGCTGGCTCCTCAAAGCATGTGTTCTACCGGTGCAATGCTGGCATTAGTGCTAATAGCATTAGTGATATATTAATCATGAGTACATATTTGTATAGTATACGATCATGTATAGGTAAAAAAAAAATTGCCCACGATTCATGACATAACTGGATTAACGTGATTTTTTCCGATGAAAAGAAATCTGCATACACCTCATGGATGGAATTATTACTGCCACGATTTAAGGAGGGAAAAATTTATGGAAAACAACTTGGCGCTCGTTCCTTTATGGTAAACGGGTGCTTTTATTATAATGGTGTCGGCTGTCTGACATTTAGTTCTAGTAGGATAAATTGTTATGGATGTAGATAATTGTTAATTGTTGTGGCTAATGCTGAAGTTCTAGCAGATGAAAAGTGGATATTTCAGCAATAGAATGCCCATTTCCACGCTTGTAACGTTGTGAAAACTTGATGAACGGCATAGGAATAAACAGGCTTAAAAAGCCAGCAAAAATTCCTGACATGAACGCAATCGAGAACTTGGGATATCTGTCTAGGAGAGTATAAGGCAAGCATTATTTAATGCCTAATGACTAAAAAAGACTTCTGGTCAAAACCGACCCAATATTGTGCCAAAATTCGTTAGTATCAATGAAAAATCTTTTTATTTTATTTCAGTTCTTAATAATGTAAGTCATACAATTAATCATTTTTTTTCCGTTAAAAAGACCAAGTTGGTAGATTATCTGGTTAAAAGTTCCTTGTTAGAAATCGGTTGATGAAAAAAGAATTTAGTCTGATTCCATCTACTTTTCGACTCATCCTTTTTCATTCCTAGCCTGTAACCTCCTTTTTAATCGATATAAGAACATCTCCATTTTTTGGAACTAAGAATTAGTCTGTAAACCAAGGCCTAAGCTTAGAGGAATTTAGGAAATAAATGTCACAACTCCCTAGTTACTGGTCAGTAGAATATAAATTCCCTTGGTAGAACGAACTATTTCATCCAAAAAAAGGCAGAAAACCTCTCAGCTTAACCTAACAACTTAAATTATAAAACTTAGACTATAACAAAAAATTAAATGCATACTTTTTTGGATTTGACTATTTCACAGTCTTTTTATGAGTTCTTCCTTTCACTCGCTTAAACTTTATTTATATTTATTGGAATGTATGATTTTTATGTAACAACGTTTGTCATTCCAGGATTTGATATCCCTAATTTCAACTGGATTTTTTTCTTTTTCAGAGTTTACCACAAACGACGCCTCCCGGCGTGTCGAACGGTGCGGAATCCGTCGTGCCGCACGAAACCAACGCCTCGCAGGATAACGTAAGTCCTCTTTAAATATGTGACAAATCAGTTGGAGTAATTGTTTTTCACTGATAATCCGCCAAATTCGAGAACCGTGTTAAACCTCAAGGAGAGACGATGACTAGGAATGCCTTAACGCGACCCGGTCACAACTTCCTCGGAAGATATTCTAATTTAATTTCCAACACTTGGTTGGACTACTAAAACTTGAAACATTTTAGGATCATAGGATAAGTCCAGTACTTGCTACTTGCTTCAATAGTTTTTATCAAATGGGTTATTGTGTTTGTTATGATTCAAAAGTATTTGGGTTACTCTGGGGCAGTGGGAATGAATTGTGGGGTGTGTGTATGTGTGTAATTCATTAGCTTAAATGGCAATGCACATCCCCAATTGCCTCGAGGAATATGGAGTACTCTGTGGTAGTGTGAAAAACGTATGAATGTAATTTATTAGCGTGAATTGAAGGGTTTATCCTACTAGGTCTTCCTTTCTTCCTGCACCTTCGTCCAAAGGGCTCTATCAGGATCTATCTTTTCTGGGCCAATTGGGTCTGCCTGACGGTCTTTTCCCCGGAACATTGTCACGCTTAAGCGTGTCCAGGATGGCTCTCTTGGCGGTATGCGGTCGGGACGTGGTAGCGGAATTACAATTTTTTAATGGTAGCTCTACTCCTCTTTCAGCTTCTCTCTTCCACTTGCCGTCTCCTGAGGTGATCCACATGAGCACTTCCTTTAGCCGAAATGAATACAGTTTTGCTGCGAAGTCCCCATGCCCAGTCATTGCTGGAGATATGAAATGGTCGACTGATAGGTGCTTCATTTTCAATCTTTATCTTATGCCATGGAATATCTGGTATGTATGGCGTCCATTGGTACATATGTCCCACCGACGTTGCCATTCTGTCGTTGCCCAGTTAATGACTTCTTCGACGTTTGTACCATTGATACTCGGCCTATATCATTTCTAATGTCCCATACTGCATTTATTACGGTCATTCGCAAATCTATCGGCATCTGTCCTGAGATAACTTGTAATGCCTCCGTCGATGTTGCCCTATAGGCTTGGGTGACGAGCAGTAGTGCATTCCTTTGTGCTTTGTGAGCTCTGCCCAACATGTTTTTTTTTATATGCCTTGACCATGCAGTTGACGCGTACGATATAGTTGGGACACATACAGATTGGTACATAATAAGGCGGCTTTTTATGGTGATACCCCACGTTAGTCCACTTATTGCTTTTATTTGGGAGTTCTTGGGTACAACTCTTGCATTCACTTCTTTAGTGTGAGTTTCAAATTTGGCTTCTCACCCAATAGTAACACCTAACAACTTAACATTATGGGGACAAGGTATTGTGTGACCATTTATTTCGACGACTTTGGAATGGTTTATCTGTCAGGCCATTCTCTTTTTTTTTCTCTCTGCTCCTTGGCCTTGAAGGCTTCTCTACTTCACCTTGACATGAGCATTCTGGGCTATCTTTTTTGGCAAAGAAATATAGCTTTCCAGTGAAATCGCCATGCCCTGACAAGAACTGCGAGACTGAGTGGTTGATTGCTATTTTATTTTCTATTCTTTCTCTGATGTCTGGGAAGCATTTGTAGGTGTTTCATCCTTTGCAGCTTGCATTCCAGCGAGTTTGCCACTCGTTTATGGCCCATTCAAGTGCCTCCTTAGGTGTGCTGATTGGTATGTTGGGTGTCTTATTGTTGTTTATGTCCCATAATGCACATTGTTTTCCTATCCCAATGTCTATGGGAAGCTGCCTCGCGATTACTTGTAGAGCTTTTGTAGATACCGTTCTATAGGCTTTAGTGCAAATTAGCAATGAATTACGTGATGATATCGCTTTTGCATGCTGAACTCAAATTTCTTACCCATGCAGGGCAAGCATATGTCATGAGGGAAGCACAGATTGACTTGTACATGATTATTCTATGCTTGTAGCTACAACCCCAGGTTCACCTCAGATTCTCTTGGCAGTTGCGAATTTGGCAATGGATCATCTTTCCATCGATTTGGTCTGTTCCCTGAAGTTCAAGTGTTCCCCTATTATTATGCCATGGTCCTTTACTGTGCGAGGGCACTTGATGGTTATTCATTCTATCCGCACTACTGGTGGGCTTCTCATGTTTAGCTTGCCTTTTAATAAAATGAGGGCTGTTTTGTCAATAGCAAGCTCCACCTTCACTCTTGTGAACCAATTTTTGACCACGGTAACTATTTTGTTACCAGTATTCTCCAAATCGGCTTTTGTGCGAGCTTCTATGATTGCGGTTAGGTCATCGACATATGCTATCGTCAGTATTCCTCATCTATTTAGGTCATTAGGTCATCGAAGAGGACAACCCATAGAAACGGTCCTAAGACTGATCCCTGAGGAACTCCTAAGGTGTCTTTCCTCTTGCAGTTTATGTCATGGAAGGGTTTATCCGTAAACACCCCAAGGAATGTCGATTACTCTGGGGTAGTGTGAATGTAACTTATAAAATCCAATATAGAGGCTTATCCCCAATTACCCTACTAGTAGAGGAAAGTAGAGTACTCTGGGGGTAGTGGGAATTCTATTTATTTGCGTGATTGGAGGGGTTTATCCATAGTTTTCCTGAGTAATATCCAATACTCCGGGGTAGTGGGTATTTATGGGCGTGAATGGAGTGGCTTATCCCCAATTACCTCGAGGAATAATGAGAACTCTGGGGAATAGTGAATGTTAACCAGACTATTTTGTGTTTGTGCTTGGTATTCGGGCCTTTTGATCCACTACCGGCTCCATTGAGCGACGTACTTTACCGTGCAACAATTTCAGATTTGTTTGTAAATGTTTGCTAAATGAAGTCCGTTGGCTTTTTAAGGGAAAATGTGTCCGTCAAGCGTAATCTCATCCTGGATAATTTCCATATACAACGTTAATCCAGGATCGGTGCGTCCCGAGAGTACGTTTTAACAAACCAACAGCTGTCTGTCCTTCTATTTTGCTATTATCGCCATTTCAAAATGTGACTAATAAGATTTTTATTTTAAAACGCATCCTTATCGTCCCTGGTCGGGGGTATTGAAATTGCTTTGGACCTCTATTAACCAAGGTGGGGAATTATCTGCTGGCAGTTGAGATTCATAACGACTTCATTGAGGAAGGGAGACTGGAAATTGAAGTCGACCTCAAAGTTAGATTGCTCATTTGACGTCATTTCCAGTTCTATTTCTGGTCAAGACGTCTGTTGAAACTTAAAAGGATTAATCCCCCTTCCATTGCCATTGTTTCGCAAAGTCACCTTGTTTTCCAAAGGCTGATGTAAATCAATTAGTACACGACAATCAGATGGCAGTTTTCAAAGAATTTTCTAAGAAATACTTCAGAATTGAGGGAAATTTTCAAAACGACGGTTAAAACAGACGAGTTAAATTTACTATATTGAAAAGATTAACCTCGGAGGTTGCTTTAGCCAATGAACATACGAAACTGTACCAATTTTCTGATTTTGACCCTTTGGATTTTTTACGGGGGCATTGAAAGACACAAACGCAATATTTTTCTTAGTTTATTTGTGATTTTTTGTTTGTACCTAACTGCATTCATAGCACAACTAGCATATTTGAGCAATGCCCAGTAGTATTAAATTTACGGCAGGCCCGTGTAAAGCAAACGTTACACCAGGGTGGCGTCGCCCCTTGAGAGGGTGATAATTAGAGCTTAATTGGCTTGGAATTGGTTTAGGGCAGAATGTATTGTAGACAGATTGGGCAGGTTCTGGGTAGAGTAGTGTGTCATATCAGAGTGGATTATATAGGTGAAAAAATAAGTTGGATTGCCGGATAGAAATACTTCCAATCGCGGCGCGTATAGTATGCTAAGCCATCAAAACTAGAGGGTCTTGCAAAACTAATGAACGTGCAAATCGGATGAAGCCGGGCACTCTCAACACGACACACAGGGATGACACAACTATACAGAAGCCCTGAAGATGATCTCAATAAAGGTTAAAGAAAATATTTATTTAGAAATCGTGAGATGCGGTCTGGTGTGATGTAGGTTTCAGAAAAACATTTTCTTTATCGTGCCAACGTTTCGATCTTTATTGAGATCATCTTCAGGGCCTGGGATTTACAAACATTGTGTACATATAACAATTACATTTTGGATGTGGAAAAGTGAATTTGTACAATGCAAAATATATTTTTTTATATATTCAATCAAAGTATTTCTAGTCACTCAAAGTGTTTGTCTTCTGTGTAATTGTGCCATTCTTGCGGGTCGTGTCGAGAGTGCCAGTGAGATTTTGTGTTTATATACGTTGGATTTTGAAGGGGTGGGGAAGGATGTCGGTATAGAAAAGACATTTTTGTATATGGCGTCCGCTTCTTTGAGGTGAAAAGAGCCGACTAAGGGAAAAAATGTGTTGGTAATGGTTCGGCCAGATTATCCTCTCATTATTATATAGAAAGGGATAAATAGGAAAAGGAAAGTTAAATTGTTGGGAAATTAGACCATGTGAAAAATATTTGATGTGTGGAATGAAATGTCATGATATAGGTATGTTATCTGTATTGAATTTGATTAATGATATTGGCGTAGGTGCGACTGAGTTTACATGTATCTTTTCTGTAATTGATGCTGTGTTTATCTCTGTTGATATAAACCATTTCTAAGAAATTACGTTTATGTTTGTTTTGTTCTGAAGATGATCTCAAGAAAGATCGAAACGTTGGCACGATAAAGAAAATGTTTTTCTGAAACCTATATCACACCAGACCGCATCTCACGATTTCTAAATAAATATCGATTAACGGTCACTATCACCACACAGATAAAAAAAAAGTTTTTCTAAAACCTGTGTCACACCAGACCGCCTCACGATCTCCGAATAATCATTATAAGTTCTATTCGCTTGGATTAAGCTGAATAAACAGTTTATAACAACAGAAACGATTAACGAATGTAAAAAGCTTGAAATTTAAAAAAAATACGAAAAAGACAAAAGTGGGCGTTTTACCTCTTTTTCCCATCCCACAGTT